ATATATATATATAATGCACAAATATCTATAATTATAATAAAAACATATCTAAATAAATATTTTATTTTTAAATATTATAAATATTAAATAATATTAAAAGCACAATGACAAAAACACAACAAACACAATAACTGCAACTAAAATTAAAATGAAAACAGAAAAAAACAAAAAAAAGTAATTGTGAACATATGTGACCCTGGAGCACAAAAGCAGTCATAAGAGTCAATTTTTTTCGAAATTGAGATTTATACATCATCTGAACCTGAATAAATAATCTTTCCATTGATGTATGGTTTGTTAGGATACTTCAGACTGCTTTTGTGCTGCAGGGTCACATATGTAATTAATAAATTACATTATTATTGCATGATCATATATAATACCTTGAATTTCACAGTAAGTCAAATGCATAAATGTAATGTAATATAAAAAAAAAAAAAAATTTTTTTTTACTGTATTCTTCTTATCTGGCTGGATATTTTCATCATATGCATGCGTTGTCTGGGTTTTCACATGCATGCAGGAAACTAGAAAGTAGTTTAAACAAACTAAACAAACTAGATGTTTCAGTAGCGTGACCGAAGTTCAGCTGTTTTTAGAATAGTGAGTGTATATATATATTTACATAAACCTATCATTTTACACCAGATCAGCATCAAAGGCAATATTTACGACAAACTGAAAGATTAATAAGATTTAAAATAGTCTTAAAAACAATAGTAACCTGATGAATTGTATCCAATAATTTTATTACTTTCTACAAACAAAATAAAATTAGATATATTATTAAAAATAACAATTATATACAATGTTTCAATTTGTTTCAATGTCCATTACTCTAATTTCTGAGTAAAATGTCACCTATTATTTAAAGCATAAATTAAGGATGTTTAGATGTTTGTACTGGAAAACAAGACAAAAAATACTGAGGAAGAACATCAGATTTTGCAGATATGAATATGAACTATATGGAAACATCAAAGCTGCATGACTTACATTCAGCTGTGCATTAAAGCTGAAGTGTGTGTAGTTACTGAAATGTGTTTTAAGAAAAACCAAGAAGTTATAAAGTTATAATGAAATTTAGCAAGGAATTGTTGTGCTGTCTGACTGCAGAAAAACAATGTAAAATCACAGACTGACACAAACACACTCGTCAGACGGGCTCGAGTGCGTCCCGTCGTCTGCATGCCACGGATTCCCTGCCAATTAACACAGAGATGAGGGAACGATGATTCCCACGCGAGTCTCTCTCTGAAATTAAACTCTAATTAATCTCTGAGATCCACAACCATCAGCAGAGATGCTCTCATAGACAGTCATTATGTACTTCAGCTCACACTCATCATGATCACACACACACACACACAGAGTTATATATTTTTATTTGAAAACAAGACACTGAGGAAGAATTCAAAGGAATAGAAAATAATATCAAATGCTCAATAAATATCAATTCAATAAATGGATCTGACATGCCGTTGTGACAACAAAATACTGTACATCTAAACTGAGCCCACAGGGATGTTACTGCAATTTTTTTGTTTATTTACTGAAAAAATATCAGAACATTCTTAAATCAAGATACGTTTACTTCAAGATTTACTTTAAGATTTTAGTGACCTTTTTCACTAAAACATCTGCCTCATTATGTTATGAAAACGTTATTTCTGAGGGGCCGTTTACACAACACCATTTTCAACTAAAAACAGAGACGTTTTTATGCATTTTATCCGTTCAATTTCATGACAACGGCCTGAAAATGCAAACTTTTGAAAATTGGTTTCAAAGGTCAAGTTGGTGAAAATGATTCCATTATTGTCTCCATGGAAACTATAAAAACGCAAATTTGTGAAAATGATGACATCATGCACATGCATATTACCTGTTCAGTCTACAGGCACGTGGTGTTTGATGTGGTGACAATAAGTGGTGACGTGGTGACAATAAGTCACTGGGGAAGTCGTGGCCTAATGGTTAGAGAGTTGGACTCGTAACCCAAAGGTTGCGAGTTCGAGTCTCGTACCGGCAGGGATTGTAGGTGGGGGGAGTGAATGTACAGCGCTCTCTCCCACCTTCAATACCACGACTGAGGTGCCCTTGAGCAAGGCAACGAACCCCCAACTGCTCCCCGGGCGCCGCAGCATAAATGGCTGCCCACTGCTCCGGGTGTGTGTTCACTGCTGTGTGTGTGCACTTAGGATGGGTTAAATGCAGAGCACTAATTCCGAGTATGGGTAACCATACTTGGCCACATGTCACTTCACATATGCATAATATAATACAGCATAATACAGCACTTCTAGTCATTTTTGCGGATGAATCTGTAGGTGAAACTTTTCAAAAACGCAAAGGCAAAAGGAGAAAAACAAGGAGAAAACATATGGGGAATGTTCTATTATTTTGCAAAAATTATGGGAACTTAAAGGGCTAGTTCAACTTCAGTCGCTGGTCCCCATTGACTTACATAGGGTTTTTTTCTCCACACTATGGAAGTCAATGGGGACCAGCGACTGAAGGTGAACTAGCCCTTTAATGTTTGAATGTTCTCGGCCAGCTAACAGGGAACGTTCTCAGAACATTCTGGCAAGGTTCTCTCAAAGATATGAACAAATGTTCGTCCAGTAATGTTAACAGAATATTCGTTCAGAGTTTTATCTGTTATTCTCAAAACGTTAGCACAAAAACACTATCTCTGCATCATTAATGGAACGTTTTTTATTAAACCTTGTAGTTGGATGTTCGTCTAACATTTTTTTTAATGTCACTACTCATTTTAGAACTTTCAGAGAACATTCAAGTAACGCTTCCATAATGATAAAATCATAAAAATGAATGTTTTGCAAAATGATAAAATGGCATGTTTTCCTTAACATTCAACGTTTTAAAAACTGGACGTTCCAGAGAACATTAAAAAATAATGTTTTTATAACTTAATGGGAACATTAGCAAAACACTCTTAGAATATTACATTTCCCGTCAACATTCCGAGAACATGTGTGAAA